TCAGGCACGTCATGACCAACCTCGGCGAGAAGCTCACCGATGAGGAGGTCGACGAGATGATCCGTGAGGCCGACGTCGATGGCGACGGTCAGGTCAACTACGACGAATTCGTCAAGATGATGCTCGCCAAGTAGACAATTTTTGCAGATCTTGTACAAAAATAAATCACACACAATCAACAATCACTTCTGTGCACAAAAGAAAAGGGTGCAGAAAATCAACATTTGAACAAAAGAGCGGCGCAAGATGGATGGCCTCAAGCGCTGCCAAGTGGCGCTGTGGTGCGGGGTCGTGCTGGTGCTTGTTGTGGCTGCCTCTGCCTCGCAGGATTACACCTTCGACGAAGAATTTCTGGTGCGCCCTCTCAAAGATGGTCGAGTGTTGGTGCACTGGCAGTTCGTCACACGATGGCACCCCGAAGCTGGCCAAATCGCGGGTTTGTACAACGAGCCCTTCATCAATCCGTTCATTCATTCTTTCATCTCAAATCTCGCTTCGTTACGCGCTGCAGACCGAGCAAAGCATTTCGGTCTGTTCCCCAAGACGCTCGGTCAGATCGTCCAGAGGTTTTCTGTGCAGGAGCTTCATCTTTCGCTCACTCAGGTACAAAGCGGCGCTTCTTCATCCATGGCGACCAACAAGACCGACCTCCTGCTTGTGCTGTCCGCTAGGGTCGCTGGGACTACGCACAATGGGGTCGGCCATTGCTGCCCGCGCCAGTGGGCGCTGAGCTGTGGTCCTGGCTTCAGCCTTCTGCTGAACGAGAGTATGTCCTCTCTTGTGGTGTGCGTGTGTGCGTGTGTGCGTGTGTGCGTGTGTGCGTGTGTGCGTGTGTGCGTGTGTGCGTGCATGTGTGTGTGTTGTTGTTGTTGTTGTGTGCTCACATCGGTTGCTAGTGTGGGAGAGCAGTGGAAAGGCCTCACGCACGCCCTATCGGGACTCATGTGCGGTTCTCTCAACCTGATCGACACCAAGAGCACTTGCCAGCCCAACGCCTTCTTCCGTCCCTCTTCTCCCGCCACCGCCGACCAAGGCACTCACCCTCCTCCTTCACCACAACTGTAGTGACGTGCATGTGCCTCATCATCGACCTGCACGACCAGCCTCTCTGCGGTACGGCGCCCTCCCGCGCGAAGCCGTGTGCACAGAAAACCTCACGCCCTGGACGAAGCTACTGCCCTGCCGCCTGAAGGTACACCACAAGGCGCCTCTTCGAGTCTCTTTCGTCCAAACTAACCGTCGCCCGCGCGCGCAGGCCGGCCTTGGCTCGCTCATCAATCCCGTCCAGCTGGCC